CTTCTGCCCTCCATGGTCCCAAAGAAGGCAAACCCACCAGGAACATAAAAGCTAAATGTGCTACTTTTACTGGCAACCAGATGAGGCCATCACCTTGGACCCCAATCTGCAGTGGGACAGACCAATGAATTCTCTCCCTGGCTGCTCGCAACCCACTGTCCTGGCTACTTCTTCCCAATGGGAGCCCCTCCAACATCAAAGGCCTTGGCTCCAGCCTTGCTGGCTTTTCCTTTCCCCCACCTACTGCTGGGTGCCTGCCACTCACTCTGTGTCTTGACTTTGAAGCCGGTCACCCCAGAACATGGATTTTAGTGCCTGGCAGCACCAAGTCTTTGGTTTGATATTAATGCACATGACTTGTACAACATCAGTACAGTGTGTGAGTGGACAGGAGGAGGATGAAAGGGAACGTGGAGGAGGGGGCATGTAAAATACAGCTGGAGGAGAAGCGAGAGGAAAATCGTGTGGAAACAGGGGCCACTGAAAGTGTTTTGGGGTGGGGCCCGTGCAAAGAAGCACACATAAACCTGAAGGCAGGAAACCCTGTGAACTAGTGACAGCTGGGGAATCAGGGCAGGGGTTAGACGAGGCTCAGGCGCCAGGGAGCAGATATCTCAGTTTAGCAAACATCTCAAGAAGCCAAAGGCCTGGAGGGGACAGCAGCCAGTGGAGGTATGTGACAGAACCTGACCAGAGGCCAAATTCCAGCTGTGAATCTGGACAATCTCCTTGGTGCTATCTTCAGAGGGTGAAGCCAGGGGAGGGGACAGGAATCAGGCCCTGGAGCTGTGCCTTCCCCCTCCCACATACTCAGCCCCCGTGGGGTGATCCAGGGACCTCAGCCTCCAGCTGCGCCAGCCTGGGCAGAGTACAGACCCGCCGTGCCCACCAGAAGACTCTGCCAGGAGGGGAGCCAACTTGTGGTGGGAGTGGGAGTGGGAGTGGGTAGGACTCTAGAAACATGTCACTACATCTTGGCTCTTCTTAGATCCTAGACTGGGTGACTTGGCCTTTACCAGGCTCATCTCTACCAACTACCACCAGGCAAAACCAACCCCTTCCTGACTCAGACAGACACCCCCCATCAGGTTCAGTACAGCCAGCTGGGTAGTAGGACAGTAGCTACCCAGCTGGTTTCTGGGATTGGTGGCATTCAGGTGTGATGCCCGTGGGCGAAGGGAGGGAGCGAGTGGAGCTAGCCCAGGACAGGAGAGCACTCCCTCACAGTCCCCGGCCCTTGACCGGATGCCATGCCCCAGGGAGCGTCAGCCCAGACCAGGTGTCTGCACCTGGTTTCCTTGCCTGCTAAGTCATGCACTGCCTTCTCAAGGCCACCGCCAAACACAAGGCTGGTGATGTCTGCTCTGACTTGCCTCCCCTTCTCACAGTCTTTCCTTTGACTTGAAGTCTGTCCTTAAGATGCAAGACCCTCACTCTAACCATGGCTGCTTGCAACCCACTAGCCTGGCTGCTTCTTCCCAATGGGAGCCTCCAAACCAGCTTTCCTTCATTTTCTCTGTCAGAACCTCTCTCCCCCGGCTCTCCTTGAAGGCACCAGATGCATCCTCAAGTCTCTGAAATCCTGTCCTTCGAGAGAACTCCCTGCCCCATGAACAGAAGATGGCTCTGTGGGGACAGACCTCTGCTTCCCAGGGTCTCTCTAATGGCCAAAGACCTATCTTGCCTCAGGGTAAGGCTGGCCCTGCTTATGGAGCCCAGAGCCATCCTCACTGGGGGTTTCTGAGTCAGGCAGGCATCCACAAGAGCTAATCCTGAGTCGGGGTGGGGGGGGGGGGGCGGTATAAAAGCCTTACGTGAGTTTTCACATTGGTTGTACAAGGCTTTCAGAGATGAGAAGTACAGTATAGTCATCAGAGTGGTGGGCTTTAATGCAACTTAAAATCCACCTCTGCTATCCACTAGCCCTCTGATGACTCAGGGTCCTGCCGTTGTTAACCTTTTTCAGAAAGAGCTTTCAGCTTAGGGGCAGGTTTGGGACACCTTTCCAACCTGCTAACCAGATGAGGACTATTCTTTTCTGTCTCAATTTTGATATTTCTCCAAAGAGAAATCTCTAGTCTGACAGATTTAATGTGATCAGATATTTGAATCATTTAAGTCTCTCAAGACCTGTCATTGAGAACTCTGTAAGGATGGACATCATTCCGCTGGAAATGTGATCAGAAACGCCTTGTTGCGCCAAATAAGGTTCCCTTTTCAGCGCCTTCCTTCAGATGTTCTCATTCTCTCCTCAGACTGGCTGGAAACCAACTGAATAAACATCCTCTCCCCTGCCCCCAGGTGGCGAGGATAGCTCTGGAGGTATGTGGAGGGTGAGTGCACAGAAGACGTTTCCAAGGCAGTGATGACGTGGGGCTTCGGGAAGGCTGACACTTGAAGACTGGTGGGCGCTCCAGACAGCCCCTGCCCCTTTTCACCGCCATCCTACCCAGGGGTGGTAGGGCCTCTGAGCCGACTGGAGCCCCTCAGCAAAGGAAGCACACAGAGTATTGCCCTCTGCTCCAGGTGGGGGTTCTCTGGGGGGCCCAGGAAGGAGGGCATAGGTCCCTTAGCTCCAGGGGGGGATGAAGTCCCACCTGGCCCCAGCTGGTTTCAACCCCTGACCCAGGGAAGTACTCCTACTACGGGTACCTGAGGGCCCCCTCACACCTGTGCCCACAGGAGCACCTGCACTCTTGGCCAGGGACAGCGGTATGGGGATCCCTGTCTGTCTGGGCCAGGTGGGATCGGTCATGCGCTTGGCCTCTTGGTTCTTTCCTTCCTGTTTCCCATCCCTCAGGCCTGCAGAAAGCTCACACCCCACACCTTTCCCTCACTCTGGGAGGCAGGGCCTGCTTCAGGGTCACTCCTCCCCAGTCTGTACTTTCACTTGGCTCAGAGCTCAGACCAGAGGGTGGAAGCCCCAGTGAGGAACCCCAGTTCTGCTAGGGCTTTTTGGGGATCAGCGCTTCTCAGCCCCCTGAAATCTCAGGGCATTCTCCTCCACTGGGTTTGCACACTGTCCCCATCTGTTCTATGTCAGTGAGAGACTCTTCTCCGTGAATCCACACCTAAAACTTACTTCCTGGTGCTTTTTATCATTAAAGACCTCCCGAACTGCTTGCTTCCGTGTGGCCTCTTAGCAAAAGTGAGGCCTCGCAGCAAGACCTGCTGCCTGCCTCTGCCGTCCCAGGCCCTCTCCCCTGCATACCCCTTGCTGATGGTCCCTGGGGGCTTGCCCTGTCCTGTCTACCCTCCATGCCACAGGAAGGGGCTGCTCCTCCAGCCCTGCCCCAGCCCTCCGAAAGCTTAGCTTTAAATCGTTTTGTTGACATGAAGTTTGAATTGAGGTTAAACTCATTTTGTAGACCTGCGCTGGCCGATCAGTCCTTGATCTTATACTGGGTTCCTGTGTGTCGGGCCTGGATTCTTTACTTCGCTCTACTTTCCAATTTTATTTGGGTTGATTAACTTAGATTAAGCCTAAATTAGCCTGTCGCCCTCAGATCAAGACTCTAGTTCCTCCTCCTGTGCCTGGCCCCCGGTTCCTACTTTCCCTCATTTGTCAGGGTCAAGGCTACCTGCACAGACCCTGGGCAGAGGAGGCAGCCTTCGGCAAGCTGGCACGCACAGCACAGGTTTGGCACAGCAGGCCCCAGAGCTATGGGGGAGATGGGCAGGGGTGGGGATGATGTTAACAGGGAAAGGAGGTGAACCTAAATCTAGCCTGTTCCCAGCCGCGTGCTAGCCGGTGAAAAATCATGAAACCAAAGGAGAAGGCAAATGAAGAATGGCGACAGGACTGAGTGTCAAGTGACCGTCAACCTGCCATGCTCTGGACGCTGGCGTCTGGCTAAGGCCTGGACCAGGCCCTTTAGCTGAGAGTTACCCCTCTGCACTAAGGTCACATTTCTGAGAAGCACAGCAGCACCAACAATCAATAATCACTCCTCAGAAAACCTTCTGGACTATAATGGAACCCTCTCTGATGCTTCACAGAGCACAGGAGGCTCATCTGTGTAGTTGGTAGTGTGGAAGGAGGGGTCATCTGACAATGTGGGGTGACAGGACTGATTGGGGCTTCTGCTCAGTAAATTCCTGTATTACACATCTTTCCTCACTCCCAGTATGCAGGTCAGCTGGCTACCCATATTTTCAGCCTCATCATGCTAAAAGCCAACAGAATTAAGATAATACCTCTCCCACACACAAACATACGTGTGCACACGCGTTCTTACTAATTTTAAGGAGAGCAGTGCCAACCATGTCCCCTTCCAGCAGAAAGTCACTGCCAGGACCCTGTCTTGGCTCTGCTTCAAGCCCAGATTCACTAGTTCTAACTTCTGAGCTCAAACACCCTTCAATGACCTCCCCTGCTCCCCCCCCCCCCCCCCCCCGGCAACCACCACTGGCATTACCCTAACAGGCCTAAGAGCCTGGACAGAAGTGTGTGCTGAGGCTGGAGTGAAGCTGGAAGGGAGATTTGACAGAGGGGACAGGTGATCTCTGATGTGGCCTCAGGAAATGGCCTCGCACAGATCTGGCCCCTCAGGGGACAGTCCCCAAATGTTAGTCACTGAGTCACAACTTCATGCTCTGTGCTAGTTCCACATAATGACTGTGACTATTATTTAGTTAATGTTTTTCTTTAAATGGACTCACTTAAAAAACAAACCTGTTTATTTATAAAGAAACCTTCTATCGCCACCATACATGGAGAACTAGTACCATGTGCAACTTCTGATCAAAATAAGTAAGTAAATCTCCATTAAAGTAAGAAATGTTCTTCTGTGTCCCATGGCAATCCTCATCTTGATGACGGCTGCAGGTGGCACATTTTCTACAGTAAACTCTTAGGGCAGCAGAGACTTTTTCTTAGGGAGCGTCTTGGCTCCCTCGTGCCTTGTCATTTTGGTTGTGAGATGTGCCCAGACCATCTTCCCTCCGTATGGTACCCAGGCCCGGCCCTCGGGGTGGGAGGAGCTCTGGGCCCTACTTACAATTCGAGGTTTGAAGGGTGGCTTGATCTTCTTCTGCTCCAGGAGCACCCAGTCGATCTCCTTGAAGAACGGGTGCTGCTTGATGGCGTCCTCGCCATTCTGTGCTGCCACACAGCCCAGGCGCTTGTGGGGGTTCTTGGTCATGAACTGCAGGGATGAGGACATAGAATTAGTGACAAAAGCCCGACAGGCCCTGGCTGTGAGGGAAAGACAGCAATCAGCCGAGGCAACATCTTCAGCATCACCTCCCTAGCCTGTTTTCTGGACTTTTAGGGCCTTCGCCCTTCAGGGTAGTTGTGAACTCGCCCTTCAGGGTACTAGTGAACTCATATAGAACTTACTATTTGCCAACCACCATTCCAAACACAGTGTGTGTGTGTGTGTGTGTGTGTGTGTGTGTGTGTATAAATTCATTTCAGCCAAATGCAAACCCTCTGAGCTACTATTACTATCCTTATTCTATAAGTGAGATAGTTGAGGCACAGAGAGGTTAATTAACTTGGCCAAGGTCAAACAGCCAGCAAGGTACCAAGTTGGGATTAGAAGCTCAGGGTCTTACTAACTCCCTGATTTCCCTCAGATTCTCAAGTCTTCTCCTCAGGGAGACGGAGGTCTGAGAAACCCATTTACACTGAGAGGTCAACAGTCCTTTTCGAAGTGCGAAAAGAGGATCAGATGTTCACATTAAGGTACATTATCAAAGGCACCCCCTGGCCCTTTCCTTTTTCTGGACCTGGACCCTCCCATTTTTAAAAGATTTGAATTTGAATCTCTAGCACAAAACATGCATCTGGATCAAAAGACAAAAAAAACCCCACACAAAACAAACAAACAAAAGAAAAAGGCATATTGCTTCTCAATGCTTGTCCATATAAACCACATTGATGGGTTTTACATTTTTTGGCTGGTGTCTTAGCCCCCCCAACCCCACACACACCCAGAAGAATGTATTCCTATTAAATGAGTCAGTCCTGATGACAAATATGAATTTAATTGAGCAGATAAATTCATACCTGCTGGCCTTCCCACAAGTAACAATACCTGCTCCTGGCCTCAACCCATGTGTAACAATATAACCTTGAAAAAACAATTAGTGCTAATAAGTGGAAAAACTTCTGACAGCCACCCATAATCAAGGCAGGGATATGTGTGTGTGCATGTGGAGAGACAATGACAATTCATAGGGTGAAGGCTGAGTCTGTATTTAGGAGGACAAACTATGAATCCAAGGAATAAATCTACAATAGTAGAATTTCAGGCTTCATCAGCAAGAAAGACTGGGAGAGCCTCCTACTTTCTCTTGCCTGGTGCCCCTGAAACCAAAGCACCTGGGCACAGACCAACTGCTACTGGCGGGGCCAGAGCCATGGATAAGAAAGTAAAGGGGTGGTGGGCAGATGTGAGTTAGGAATGGTACCAACACACTTCATCTTTCTAACCAAAGTCAGCAGAGGTCACCCCTGGCACCTCTGATGGCTTCTTATCACCTGCAGGTAAAGCCCACACCCCTCACGGAAACTTCTTGCTTTGAACTCAGTCTATCTTGCTAGCCTTTTGCACCCTTTTTCCCCTGGTCGGAGGCCCTTCTTCATGCCTATGCTCTTCCTCTAAGAGCCAGTCAATATGCTGCCTCCTCTGTGAAGCCTCCCCAGATTCCCCCTCTGTGGAGACCTGGGACCTCATATTTCTTGTTTACTTAAATTATAATTTGTGTCAACATCTCCTTCCCTTGGTAGGCTCTATGACGTAGGAATCAGTCCTATGCTCCCAGTGCCTGGCCCCTCTGATGCACTCACTACACTAAAATGACTGAACGTGTGCTGCAGGCCAGGCCTGGGCACAATGGTGAGGGAGGGAAGCAGCAGGACTGGCACGTACTGCTGCACAGGCTGCGCTGTGAGTAACTCTATGATGCAATGGCCTCACTACGTTCTGTGCCACCTTCACACAGGCAGCGGCCCTCAACCCACCTCAGTGGCCAGAGTCATGGAAAACCTGGCCTGGCCCGAGACTCAAGCGATAATGTGCGGAAGTGAAGCATTCCAAGGCCAAGGGAGGGGAAGACAGCTCCTCACTTCCTCTGAGCTTCCTGTCCTCCCATTCTGGGAGGGGTCGGATGGAGGATCGAGGCTACGGAGAAGCCGCCCCTGAGCCAGAGGCTCTTCTCCCGAGGGCGGTGCCTTCACCCTCACCAACTGGCAGCACAGGCGTGATCTCGAGCTTCTGAATGTCTGTCGGTCAAAGTTTCCAACCGCTGTGCTAATGACATTTCGGACCGGATACTTCTTTGTCCCAGGGGACCTCCTGTGTATTGTAGGATGTTAGCTGCATTCCTGGCCTGGACACACGAGTGCCAGTAGCATCCCCTGCTCCAAGCTGTGACAACTAAAAATATCTCCAGACACCGACGCTGCTCTGGGTCATCCAAATGAAAGGGTCAGCAGGGGTGCTGGCCGGGGGGCAGAGGCAGGTGTGCTGGGCTGGTGTTCAGAGCCTGGGGTGAGAGACCAGCTCTGCGGGGATGGTGTCCTGGCTGCCTGGGGTTTTCCTTAGCCAGCACCTGGCACAGGGCCTGCCACATAGGAGATGCTCAATAAGCATGTGCTGAAAAATGAATGCTTTCACCGATCTCATCCCAGCTATGTCCATGTATGGATGTGCTTTCTATTTATTGCCCACTTCTCCCGTGGGGCCGTAAGCTCTACTGGAAAGGTCGACGGCTATTAAGTTCACCAACACACACTTAACATCTAGCTCAACGCCCGGCACATTGGAGGCCCTCCACACACAGTAGCTCAATATTAGCTGAATGAAGTAATGGAAGGGAGAGAGTGAGGGAGAGAAAGGTAGGGAGGGAAAGAATGAAGTAAGGGACAGAGGAAGGAAAAAAACCCCAGCTACAGCAAAAAGTAACATGCTCCCATGTGGCATTTTCCTAAATATGAAATGTGTCCCCCCAGACACCGACAAAGTAATTTGAGATCTTTTTGACATTTTTCATATGATGAATTATGTTCATTAGTTATGGCAAGTGATACTGACTTTCCATTTATGATAGGGATATAATTTTTTCTGTAAACTACATATAAGTAGTAAATATTGGGGTACGACTAAAAGAACAAGAAAAGTAAAGCATGGTAGAGAGGGTACTTGGATGTGGCGAATTTTGCGGCTGTGGAATGCCAACTACTGAACTTCCAAGCGGATTCTGACGGATGAAAGAAGCCAGCACTGACATCCTGGTTCCCGGGCTGTCGCCACAGCCCTGCCTCAGCCCAGGGGAAGGAAACTGGCCTGCTTAGCATCCCCGAGCCTCAGCTTTCACAGCTTTCCCAGGGCGGTAGGTAATCACTTATTTGCCTCAGTACAAGTGTCTTAGGTTGTAGAAATGGCTGCCCTGAGCAAGCACTAAGCATTTTCACATGTGAGGGATTATCTGTAGGGGTGGGGACTGTCCCTCTGTTACGTGTCTGAATCCACCGTGGCTGCATCGAGCTTGAGTGGACACTTCTTTCCTGACCGGCTCCTCAGCCACAGTAATACTGTCATGGACACAGGCGCACAGGGTCCTTCCACCCGCCCTCCCTCCCTCCCTCTTCCCTCTTCCCCATCACAGGCCATGGTGGCAGGTATGGAAGGAGGGTTCACCCAAAGCCTAAGCAGCTGGGGTGATCCCCGAGCAATTTGAGTTGGTTTCGCTCCATTGAAACACTCCCTGGAGGACACCGAGGGGCACAGAGCCCCCCACCCCCAGGAAACACACACACACACTCACACACTGTCCTTTTCCCACAAGCAGAGCAATTCGTCCTGGGCCATTCTCTCAGCAGCAGCCTCTGGAACAGGGCCTAGCCTCGCAGTGGTGGCAGCCCTCAACGCCTTCCTCTCAGGGGGGAGCAGAGGTGGGACCCAGAGAGGGAGGGAGAGGAAGGGAGAAAGGGGGAACGGGCAGGAAGGGAGGAGAGAGGGGCAGAGTGAGAAGAAATAGAGATGGTGGGAAGGCCAGGGGAGCAGGAACATGGGTGCAGGGCGAGGACTCACAGCTTTCAGGATGCTGACGGCCTCCTTGCTGAGCCACACGGGGTAGAGCACGTCGTCGTGGAGGATGGACTCAAACAGGTCGTCCTCGTTGTCGGCCTCGAAGGGGGGCTGCCCAGCCATCATCTCGTACATCAGCACCCCCAGCGCCCACCAGTCCACAGAGGGGCCGTACTCCAACTCCTGCAGGATCTGACCAGGAGACGGGCGGCGTCAGAGCCCAGCAGAGATGCCCGCCTGCGGCCACGCCTGTGCCACAAGCGCCCCTGGACAGAGCTGAACCCCCATTTCCAGCTTGCCCCTCCACAGAGTAGAGCCCCAGGTCACTCTACATCAACAAATTCAGTGACAATTGAGTTTGGGAGGCACTCTGTTGGGAGTCAACCATCAACTCTCCAAGGTCAATTCCTCTAGTCCAATGGTTCTCAACCTGTGGGTCACGACCCCTTTGGGGGTCGAACGACCCTTTCACAGGGGTCACCTAAGACCATCAGAAAACACATATATAATTACATATTGTTTTTGTGATTAATCACTATGCTTTAATTATGTTCAATTTGTAACAATGAAATTGGGGGTCTCCACAACATGAGGAACTGTATTAAAGGGTCACAGCATTAGGAAGGTTGAGAACCACTGCTCTAGTCTGTCCTCGAGTGGCGACACTTCTCTGGTTCTTTGTTTGAGCCCCGGATGAAGTTTTTGACTTGTGTTTATAGTCAAGTTTTTTAAAAAACATATTTTTAACATTAAGATCAGGGTCAGAGGAGCAAGATGCAGACTAAGAGAGACACAAGCAAGCTGTAAGTGGCTGCATGTAGAGAGTCCAGGTCTCCGGCCTCACACTCATCCAAGGCATGGCTCATGGAGTGAAAGGTGAGCAGAATCTTAGTCTCCTGTAACCGGCCACAATGTTGAACTTACCTGAGCCCTGTGCTCTTGGAAAAGAAACTAGAGTCAATCTCCCGACTCTTCTGTGTTCTAATCATAAAGGACCACTTTGCCGAAACCGGTTTGGCTCAGTGGATAGAGCGTCGGCCTGCGGACTGAAAGGTCCCGGTTCGATTCCGGTCAAGGGCATGTACCAGGGTTGCGGGCACATCCCCAGTGGGAGATGTGCAGGAGGCAGCTGATCGATGTTTCTCTCTCATCGATATTTCTAACTCTCTATCTCTCTCCCTTCCTCTCTGTAAAAAATCAATAAAATATATTTAAAAAAAAAAAAAAAAAAAATAAAGGACCACTTTGCTCTTGCATATTCCAAAGAAAGACCCATCTCCAATGTCCTCATGACTCCCACACACATGCTGATGAACCCCTCATTTACCTGCCTCTAGAAAACCCCAGGCCCCTTCTTTTTATTTGAGGTGCCCCACATAGCAAAGGCCACGTCTAATCATTGCAGCTTGCAGGACACCTCAGACAGGTGACTTCTGATAGCTTGTCCCAGGACATAACTCCAGCTCAATCCTCAGATTTCAAGACAGCCAGAGGAGGCTGAACCCCAGGATATGGGCTTCCTCCAAACCCCCTTCTAGAGATTATAGGTAGTTTAGGATTAAGTAAGAAGGCCTGTATTTTGAAAATAGTAAAATCAAGTTCTAGGAATCTTTTTAATTTAAATGAAAAGGAATATAAGCAAATACAGTCAACTCTAAATGATTTGGGGCGGGTAATGGTTTGGTGAGTACCTTTGGTATCTTAGCTCAGGGGTTAGCATGTGGTATCTGTTAGAGATCAGAGTTATAGGCTCCACTGGCCTGAGGTGCCAGTAATGCTGTTCTGTTCCAAAGCCAAAGCCAAAGCCCAAACCAATGCCTCCCCAAACCTTGAAAAATGCAGCAGCCCAACCTATCTCATTACAGGATCACCAGTTTCTGTCCTTCAAGAAATCTTTGAGTCTCACCATCATCTCCTCCATAAATCTTTCTCGGGTCTCCTGCCCTAAGGCCCTTACTGTCCCTGAGATTTGCAGGCATCTCCCACATACTACCATGATTTTAGTTATTTTTTCATGGTCAACTGTCTCCCTAGGGCATCTATAAGCAAGCAGGTGGTAAGGGCTCTAGAATTCTTTTGAGACCAGCCCAGTTCCAACACTCCGGAAACTGGCTGTCACATGTGCCCACTGTGTGTGCCTGACTGGGCACTCCTTTCTTTCCGTGGCTCAGGGGACTCTGAGTGCTAAGGAGGCCACCCTCCAGCCTCCAGGAGGTGGCTCAACTGAGCTCTAAGCCTCAGCAGGGTGATGGGGAAGTGGCCTGAGGTGGTCTGTGTATGCTCAGATAGGATGGCGCTGTGGGAACCACAAAGTGGCCCTGCCCACCCTTACCCAAGCCTCTTCCAGAACCTTCCCATTTGGGTGGCATCTTTTATAAAATTCCTTTTAGGCTTAGCCCTAATTATCTGTGATGAAGCTGGTGAGAAAGGCAAGGCTTTGCACGCCATGGGAGGGCACCCAGTGCGGCAGCCAACCCCTGGAGTGGGTTAAAGCTGGGGTAGAAGAGGAGAGGCATTGGGTCTGATGACATCAAGCATTACCCAGGGCTGGCCGCCATCCCTGGGGAGTGGGGGCTGGGCGTGGAGAAAGAAGAGGGGGTGTGATGGGGGTTAGCCAAGGGCACATGGTGGGAAGAGAAGCCCTGGGGCAGAGCTGTGCCTCAGAAGGTGTCTCTGGTTTCAGGTTAGCCTAGCACCTCCCAACTCCTCCTCTTTGAAGAGAGGCTTATGACTTCTGAAGCATATTCATGCTCCATGCTTTAATCTCATTAGATTCTCAAATTGGCTTGATGAGGTGAGTAGGGCAGGAATTGTTATTCCCATCTGAAAGGTGAAGAACCCAAGGGTCAAAACATTCTGTGACTTGATCAAGGTCATGAGCGCATTAGTGGTCAAATCTGGCCTGGGATCTCAACTCTCAGGTCTATGCTTTGCCCACCTGAGTGCACACCCCAGCAGCAGAGACAATGGAGCCCCATTTATTAGCCAGTGCCTGTGGTGCTAAGGGCTTTAGAGGTCTACTTCCACAGAACCTTCCCCGCAGCCCTTGCTGAAGGAAGCAGTATCTTTATCAGCTGTAACTTGACCACAGAAGACCAGGGACTATTAGCCATTTCACATGTAGTGGTGATTCTGCAGAGTGGGCGCAAGTGCAGATGGGAAGGAAGAGTGTCTGGGCCTCTTAAATCAGAGTTGTTCATGGTGAATTTCGCCAATGGCATGTCTTCCATGAAAGTTGTGTGGGTGTTTTGTTCATCAGAAAGTGAATGGTTGTCTTGGGCTGGGTCCTTAACACTACACTAGGCTGTCACCCCTTTGACTCTGGCATCAACTAGAGGGACTGGAACCAAGCATTCGGATGATAAAGGATGAATGAGGAAGATACTGAAGAGCGGGTCCCAGTTGAGAGCCATGGCTTTCACTGATTTCTCCTTGAAGGTTAAATTCCTACTATTCCTGCTGGGAACACACTAGCAGAGACTGACTGAAATCTCTACTCTTCCAATCTCTCAAAAGGCAAACATTTTAATGAGAACTTACCTATTACTTGATCCTCACTTCCCAGACCCTACGCAGGCCGTCTCTCAACTGTCCTTCCCTCTCACTGTGCCCTCTGATCCACATGGCTGATGCCCATCTACTTCCTGGGACAGCTCTGATTATGACCCTTCTACACTGGGAAGCCCTTCATGGGTCCACAGGTCCCACAGGATAAAGACAATCTTCCTTAGTCCTTTATGCTAATCTCATTCATGGCTAAGAGCACTAAGAAATACTGTTCTAGCTACACTGTTTTCCTTTCTTTAAAAAGGCCAAGAATGTTCTTATCCCTTCGTCTTTGCTCATGTTGGAGTGTCCCAAGTTCTCATTCATATATTCACTCAACAAACCATTACTAAGAGCCAGATTTGTGGACTGAATCTGGGAAGTACCCAGATTAGAAACAAAGCTCCTACCCTAAAGGATTCATAGCCCAGGGATGCTGAACCTCCTCCCCTGCCCACCCCCCACTCAATCCTCCCTATTGTTTTCAGGAATGTTCCCCACCCCCACCACCAAAGGAAATCCTGCTAATTCTTTACAACTCAAATCATTCACCAGGTGCTCCAGAAAGCCTGCCCTGATCCCTGAGGATACCATCTTGTGTTTCTTGTACCTACTGATTCTACTTAATTAGTTGTTTACTTACCTGTCACTCCCTCTAGACCAAAAGTTGTTTTAGAAGAGTGACCATTGTCTATTATTTCTTCCCACACTGCTTTGTGCCTAGCAGGTGCTCAAACAATGCCCACTGAGAGGAAAGGGAATCTAAGTGTTCTAACACACCTATCCACCACGGGCAATGCTTAATGGGGATTGATGCTTTCTTACCATCTTCCATGTGTCACAACCCTCAAGACCATTTTTATTAAGTATGTATGATAGGCTATGTCTTAAATCTGAATCATATCGCACTAGGTCAGTGGTTCTCAACCTTCCGGCCCTTTAAATACAGTTCCTCATGTTGTGACCCAACCATAAAATTATTTTTGTTGCTACTGTTATGAATCATAATGGAAATATCTGATATGCAGGATGGTCTTAGGCGACCCCTGTGAAAGGGTCGTTCAACCGCCAAAGGGGTCGCGACCCACAGGTTGAGAACCACTGCAGTAGGTATTGCTTAGTTGGGCATGCTTGATCTGGAAAAACTCAAGGCAAACAAACACTTTATGATGAATAAGACATCTAAACAACTTTCACAAAAGGCATCCCATTGGTGAGGCTCCACATGAACATCTCTGATCTCCATTATAATGAGGCAGTTAATCTCTTCTTTTTCGTCCTCCTCCTCCTCCTCCTCCTCCTCCTCCTCCTCCTCCTCCTCCTCCTCCTCCTCCTCCTCCCTCTTTGATCCTGTCTTCTCCCTATGTAGAATCACCACTACACTAGAAATGGCAAATTACTCCTGGTTTCCCTGTAGGCAATTATAGCTGACTAAGTTCATTGTTGCCTTTATCAATGGTGCTCCTTATTCTGGTTAGAAGTAAAAACAATGATACAAGTCAACAAATTTCTCTTGGTCCTAGCTCCACTGGTAGTTCTGGACTGGAATAAAAGAGAAATATTTAGGAGGACCTGCCCAGAGTTGAAGAATGATCTGTTACTTTCTGCTCCACCATTCTCTCCCCCATCACCACCACTTCCTTAAGGAAAAATCAGCAAGCATATCTCCTTCTTCCCTGGAATCCATCCTGGTTTTCTAGAGCCTTCACCCAGCACCACCAGGTGACCCAGTCCATGGGGTTGAGCCCTGGCTCAGCTGTGGCAGCGGGAGGAGGTGGCCCTTGCACAGGGTCTTACCTCGGGAGCGATGTAGTCAGGCGTCCCACAGAACGTGGTCGTCGTCACACCGTTCAGAATCCCTTCCTTGCACATCCCAAAGTCGGCCAGCTTGCAGTGACCTTCTGCATCCAGAAGGATGTTGTCCAGTTTCAAATCCCTGCAAGATGGACCAGAACCACACGGTTAATGCTGCACTCATCCCAATACAGTCTTCTTGAGTTGGAGAGAGGCACACATCTCAGGGAAACCTGCTACAGAAAGGAATGTCTTGAGGAGGAGGCTTGACCTGCCAGCAATCAAAATCAGTCCCCATCTCCCGCCCATGATGGCCAACCCCCAAAGCTGCCTCCATACTCCCCAACACGATGGAGGAGCTTCTGCAACCCGAGGACTGCTGTGCTATAATACAGTTATTACAGCTATTAACTAGCTATTAACAGTATGTGCTGAAATTCATATTATTTAGACCTTGATATGCCCCTGCCTTTGTGAGTTAACCATGCAGATCACCTAAAAGAACAAGACTGACACATGTGAACATCAATGAGTCAGATAAAACCACAGAAGAATCAGATGCTACTTTATGGAGCATCAACTATGTGAGCTGTTGCATTTCAGGGGGGGGCGGCGGAGGGGGGGTGGTGGCGGAGGTGGGGGGCGGCGGCGGAGGGGGGGGGCGGCAGGGACAGCTAGTGCAGGCAGGAGGGCTTCCAGGAAACAGTGACTCTCAAGAGGAACTTGGATAGATGGGGAGGTTTTGAAAGAGAAAAGGTGAGAGGGTGGGGAAGGTCAACACAGTAGATACAAAAGGTAGTGAAGAGACCAATGAACTGGGTCCCAGGGAATGATGAGGCAAGACAGACATGTTCAAACCACCCACGAAGAGCCTCCAGTGCCAGGAAGAGGGGTTGGATGCTCACGCTGAGGGCAGTGGGAGCTCTGCCTGTGTGTGCACTGGGTATTTGCAAGATCAGTCTTTCAGGAGTAAGCAAGCTGAGTGGGGGGAGGGTCTGGGCAGGACGGAAGACACACTGGTTGCAACAACCAGGACCTCCAGAGCCCCGGTGGTTCTGTGCATGAGACAGGACCCTGGTGGCAGCTGGATCAACTGGTGCAGCTGCCTCATGGCTTGTGTTACAGTTTGGGGATCTGTGTAAGATCTTATATAAAATCTGGGGTTCTGGGTAAGAATTCCCTACCAAGCAAGTCTGCAAACCCAAGACCTATCCCACAGAAGGACCTAGACTCTTGAATTGAGGTCTCTCCCCCTCCCCACCCCCGGGACTTCCTCAGGAGCCACTTTGGGGTAGGTGCTGGGTCGGGGGGCGTCTTAAAAATAAGGCCCAGTGTCCTGCACACAGACCAAGAGGGGCCTTTCTCCCAAGCCTGTTGGCATCTGGACTTGAACTCCTCCCCCACCAGGAATCCAGGCCCGAGTGCAAAGATGGGGCAGGAAGCATTAGGGCCTGCCTGCCTTGCACCCGTGGCCCCATTTCCACTTACAGCTGGGACTTCTTGAGAAAAGAGAACTAAAATATGCTACTCTAAGCAGATGCTCATGCACTGCAGAAAGAACAGTGAGCCCAACCAGCCCAGTCGCTGAGGTTGGGGTCCCCAACCCCCCTGGCCACTGTGTATGGTCAAGGCTTAGCTTTGGCTGGGGGTGGAGAGCAGTGACATGAATACCAGCGTGGCTCCGGCATTCTGGGTTTTAATCACTGTTGTGGCCTGGACCTGGCAAAGTCATCTTGATGCTCTGTTACCTTATCTGTCAAGTCGGACCAGATACATTCCTGCTCCTAGGCTTGCCCCTGTATGTGAAAAGTAGCAGGTCTTCACTACTGTTATTCCCACTTCCTTCATGAGGAAACTGAGCGAGAGGGAGCCAGGTGTCCTGTCCGCCCGCCTGCAAATGCTGGAGTCCTTGAGAGGTGGACATAGGCCCAGTTACTGCCCTTTCACACTCTCTAATCTAGAGTTGCCTTTCCAAGACCCAAGCGCAGGCATATTGACCATCATGGCAACACCCATCGTAATAGTAACAATAATAACATGTGGGAAGCACCGTGGTCTACAAACTACACTGAGCCACACTGAGAGTTAGAAAGAGCACATTCAGTTATCACTATGGCAGAAACAAGTGAATACAAGCCGGAAGAAGGTAAGTGGTTTCTGTAAGGTGACAGGTCCCCAGCTCCGGAAGCTGCTCTTGCCTCTGTGTGCCACATTTCTTTCAATGCCAGTCACCAGCCCCAACCCCAGCTTTTTTTTTTTTAATCTTCACCTGAATATATGCTTAGAGAGAGGAAGAGAGAGAGAGAGAGAGAGAAGTCACCTCGATTGGTTGCCTTCCATACACGCCTGACTGGGGACTGAACCCACAACCCAGGTGTGTGTCCTGACTGGGGAATAGAACCGGCAACCTTCCACTGCATAGAATGATGCTCAACCAACCGAACCACTCTGGCCCGGGAGCCCCAACTTTTTAAGGACCCCACTTGCCTCCGCTCAGAGCACTCTCTTTTAAAGCCTTTGTTATGTCATAGAAAGGACTAGTTCTAATTTGTATGAATGGAATAGATTCAGAAGATTCCACACCAGCCTGAACCTTGCCCTTGGCTCAGCCTTTCCTTCAGCTCAGGGCTCCTACTCAGGGCAAGAGAAGGTGGGCTGTCTCCCTTCTCCCCACCTCCTGCTCTTTCCCTGCCCTGGGCCAGATGCACTCCTCTTGGCTTTCAGCGCTGCCTCCTCAACTAGAGGCCTAAGTCTCCCTGGGAAGGGGCAGGGGTTGGGAACAAATGTTTCGCAGCCGTGCCTGCTCTGAGGCCCAGCTTGCAGGGCAGGGTAAGTGGGCTTCATGTGAGTTCCCACCGTGATCAAGTCACAGCCAGGGATGCAGTAGGTACTCGTCAAATTTGTTCACTGGCAGCTTTTCCAAGAAGGTCTTCTGCTTCAATCTGAGTCCCTGTCGGCTCGGTTCTCAAATACAAAGCAGGGACTTTTGAGGACTGGGGACATTTCTAAGGAGGTGGTCATTTCTTTAATAGTGGGGAAAATGCAGCAAAATCCCTTTCCATATATATATATACACATCCCTTTCATATATACACACATACCAATGTGACTAGCCTTTGCTTATTAGGTTTATCTATTAATAGTTTCATGTACTTTTTTGAATAGGTAATACATTCATAAAATCCAAAGTATAAAAGGGCATATGGTATATACTCTCCCTCCTGCATCTGTTCCTCAGACAATCCCTTTTCCCCCTGAAGGCAACTGCTTTTTATTTAACCTCTGTGTATCCTCTTCTTCACACTTTATACATGAATGAGAAAATGTGAATATATCCTGCATACCCTGGAGATATTGTGGGTTCCAGATCACAATAAATGAGTATCACAATACAGTAAGTCACACAATTTTTTTGGTTTCCCAGAATAGAAAAGTCATATATACACTACCCTGTAGTCTAAGTGTGCAAAAGCGTTATGTCTAAAAAATGTACTTACTTTGATTAAAAAAAAACTTTATTGCTAAAAATGCTAACTATCATTGGAAGCTTTGAGTCATAATCTTTCTGCTGTTGGAGGGTATTGCCCAAGTAACATAAAAGATTACTGATCCTAGATCAAATAACAGATATAATAAGAAGGTTTGGAATATTATGAGAATTACCAAAATGTGAAACAGAGACAAGAAGTAAGCAAATGCTGTTGGGGAAAGGGCACTAATAAACTTGTTCAACACAGTGTTGCCACAAACTTCAATAGACACAATATCTATTAAGTACAATAAAATGAGATATGCCAGTATTCACTTACTCCCTTTTAGCTAAGTGGAGCTTACTAAATGCATGCATTCGTACCTTACCTTTTCCACTTAATATATAGTAGAGATCTTTCTGTCTTGGCACATAAAGAGCCTCCTAATTCTTCTTTAGGGCTGCATAACACTCCATCATATTTACTGGGGAGCATTTAGGATGATTCTAATACTGTGCTATTACAAACAGGGCCACAGTGAATAAGCTTGTATATGACATCTTGCATAGCTATGAAGGTAATTATACACACTTCCTAGAAAAGACATTTCTGAAACTGATAGTACAAGAATGGATTTCCATGGATGTTGACAAACTACCTTCCTTAGAGGTTGAACAATTCACTGTTCCATCAGCCATATAAAATAGTGCTTGCCAACATGGTATGTTATCAAGTTTCTGATAGTCGGATAATATCTTAGTATGTGCTTAGGTTTCTCTATAAGTCTGAGCATTTTTCATATATTTTAAAGTGATCTGTATTTTCTTCTGTGAACTGTCTGTTGCCTATTTTCCTTTTGTGGTGTTTGTTTTATATTGATTTTTTTGGAGCTCTTTCTATATTAGGGACAAACTTGGTATTTTGTCCTAGTTTACTGTTTTTGACATTTACTTCCTTTTTACTGATGAGAGAGAGACAGAGAGAGAGAGAGAGAGAAACATTAATACTTATTTATGCTGGTTGATTCTTGCGTGTGCCCTGACCAGAGACTGAACCCTTCACCTTGGTGCATCGGGCCGATGCTCTAACCAACTAAGCTACTCTGCCAGGGCAACATGTACTTTTGACATTGCTTGCAGTGGTTTTTGCCAGGCTGATATTATTTATTTTTATGTAATTGAGTTGATGTTTTATTTTTATTTTGGATTTTAAGTCTTAATTTGAAAGGGCTTAACCATTTCAAAGTTATAAAAGCATCCTCCCAAGGTTTCTTCTGGTACTTTGACGCTTTCATTTTATAAACTTGTCTTGATGTATTTGGAATCTGTCCTGATGAAAGGTGTGAAGTAGAGATCCAACTTTGTTTCCAGACATTTAGTGAGTTGTCTCAATTCCATATGTTGAATAGTTCATATCTTTTCCTCATTGACTGAAATACCACCCCTATCAAATGGTGGTGCTAGATCTCTGCATGTGTTTGGATTTATTTCTGTACTCTTCATTCCATAATATTGATCTATACCATACTTTTTAACTTATTATAGGTTTATAATATGCTTTGACATCCAGTAGGGCTGAGCTCCTTATTATTCTTCTTTCAAAATTACTGGCTACTCTTGCTTGTTTATTTTTCCAAATGAACTTTAGAATCATCTGTCTAGTTTTTTAAAAA